CAATGGAGAAGGGTTCCTTTCTCCCCACAACCCCGCCAGCATTTGTTATTTGTTGATTTCTTGATAGCATCCATTCTTTCTGGGGTGAGGTGGAATCTCAGGGTTGTTTTCATCTGTATCTCTAGAATGATGAGTGATGTTGAACATTTTTTTCATATATTTGTTTACTGCTTTTACTTCTTTGAGAAATGTCTGTTCATTTCAGCTGCCCATTTTTGAATTGGGTCTTTGAATTTGGGGGGTCTGATTTTTTTCAGTTCTTTATACATTCTAGGCAGTAGTCCTTTGTTTGAGGTACAGCTGCTAAAAAATTTTTCCCATATTGTAGGTTGTCTGTTAGCTCTCTTAGTGGTTTCTTTTGCAGTGCAGAAGCTTTTTAATAAGATGAAAAAAGCACATTTTTTAAATAAACACATTTTTGAGTATGACTTATCAGTGTACACAGAATGTTTAACTTATATTTCATCATCTGTATATTTCACAACATTTTGTACAATATTTTGTTATAATTTCCAACACTGAATCACAGTGTTGGCATTCTGTCCAGTAGGTTTCACCCCTGCCAAGAACCTAACATTTTCAGACCTTGTTCTAGGCATTGAACCATTTTTATTTTGCCTTTCAACTAGTTAAATATGTACTCTACATTGCTGTTTTCTTCCCCATCTGAATCAAGGTCTTCATTCTCTGTGTCTGTATTGGTCAATTCTTGTTTTGTTTCACTGTTACAGGAACTTTGGCTCAAATGACTCAAAGTTATCATCATCATCATCATCATCATCATCATCATCATCATCAGTGCATGAGTCACCTGATCACTCACTTTCGACCTCCTCCCAACTTCCAAATCTGGTTGTTCATGTACCACTGTACCGAATTGGGCTAATTCTGTAAGAAAAATAAAAAGAAAACACTTAAAAAAAAACAAATCCTAAATGCACAGAAATTTAGCAATGAGCATTTCATGTGTAAAACTCATCTACTGTTGCTTCCTATACATGCCTTGCCCTTCCTCTGCCAAGTAGGTGAATGTAAAGTGGCACTTGGAGGGCAGGCAGACCAAGGAAGAGAGTGGCACTCAGAGAAATGAAGAGAAAGGCAGGTTTATTATTGCTAGTGGGCCCAGAAGTCACCTTCTAGAGTCTGAGCCCTGTTTCTTCTCATATTTATGTTATCTAGCCAGGGCAGAGAAGCAAGCAGAATTTTCCAGAAGCAGAACCTAGCAAAGGGTATAGAGGTGGAGGTAAATGTTGTTTTTACAGTTTGTCTTTAAGACATAGGAAGATAAGCATCTGTGTTTCAGGTTTTTTGGTTTTTGGTACTGGGGATCGAACTCCGGACCTTTCGCTTTTGAGGCAGGTGGTGGAACCACTGAGCTAAATCCCTGGCCCTTCAGCAGTTCATCTTCCCAGCACAGTGACCTTCGCTGGTTTAGCAGAAGAGGCAAGCCTTAGAATGTCAGACTTGAGACTGTCAGTCTCTGCCAAGCTTTGAGACTGTCAGTCTCGGTTCTGTCTTTTGTTTTTTCCATTTCAAATGCACAGATGGATTCCTATGTTCCCCAGCCACAGCTACTATGAGCCACACCCGGTTACCATTATGGCAAAGTATGGTACCTTACAAAAGTATAGTATGGGCATACTAATTTAACCCCCAAGATGCCTAGGGATACACACACAAAAATGTTACATGGAGAATTATGTAAAAATCTTGATTTGACACCTTTGCACACATGCATACACCTTGCCATTTGTCGTACCAAGTGGCTGAACACAAAGATTGCTTCCTTTATAACCCGTGCACACCTACTGAGATGCACAGTTGGCTACCATTATGCTAAAGTACATAATTACATTTAACAAGTATGGAATGGGATATATTTTACTCACTGTGATGCCCTCTACTGAAGCAGAAGATCGTATTAACCTTGTAATCGTAGTCTAAGAATTTGTGCACAAGACCATTTTAAGCATATTAAACAAACATAACAACTCAAATTGAAAGCCAAAAGTAAATTTATCAATTAGCTAAAATTGGTAACAATGGGCTCTTGTGATTCTGGTGTGACTCCCACTCTAGAATGTTAACATCTTATGATTGCCTCCCTATTTTTACTTGCAAGGAGTTGTATCCCTTTCCCATTTTTTGAAATAGGGTTTCCCTCATTCATTACCAAATTTGGAGCACCATGGACTGGCCCAGTGATATCCTATTTTACATTTAGGACATTTCTGTTTGGCTTTTGTACCAATATATAGTTTATCATTTTTACAATCTTTCTAAAGAAAAAAGCAGTTTGGGCAAAAATCTGTCTCAAGGCCAGGCAGTTTTCTTGGGGAAAGGGGAAGGCCAACGCCAGACACAATATGCCTCACTAACCTAAACTTTAACCATTCACCTCTCACAGAGCCTGCATGCTTTTGCCCTGCACTTTAAGTATTCATTCGTCAGCCAATTCCCCACACATCAGCTGCTTGTTCTGGTCAGGAACCAGACTGTGTGAGGGCACCCAGCCCTGCAATTCCTCAAACCTCACATACCACCATCCACTTTACAGCTTCTCCAGCATTTGCAGGAGGTGGCTTGCACTTTCCACTCCTTTCTGGGGGGAAAACCAGGGAGTGAAATCCAGAAGGATGATGATAATGGCTGAGCCTCTCTTGAACCCTTCAGAGGCTGGGGAGGCGAGCAGTTGTGAATCCTCACTTGTAGAGAGCCTTTAAGGCTCCCTGGAGCTGGCCTATAGGTTTGATGAAAGTCCTGATATCCATCTTCTCTTGACTCTTGACACTCTACTCAATTCAGGAATGCCTTGGCCAGACTGTTGGCTTCGCCCAGGAGGTCTTCTTGGCCTTGACCTTGGGAGTGCCACAGATACCTGAGTCCAAGGCAGAGTGAGCCTTCAGATCACCACTGTTCTTAGACAGAGAGGAGGAGAAAAAGGAGGAGAAGGAGCAGATGCTATTGATGATGGACAAGGAAAAGAAGGCTGAGGAGTGGTTCTTCCCCAATTTTGCCAGGTCATTCTTCTCTGCCTTGAGCTTTAGGAGTGATGATGACTTAAGGGAGCCTGATTTGGGTGAGCTTTTCCTGGCTAAAGAGTGAAGAGCCCCTGGGGGAGTCTGTCCATAGAGAAGCCTCTGGCTGACTGTTCTCACAGATGGTCTCTTCTTCCAGGGCCACGTCCTCTGAAGACTTACCTACCTGAAAGGAGGTCACTGCAGGGAGGAAGCAGGTGACAGCCTGTAGGGGTAAGCAAGCAAGGAAACATCACCTTTAATTCTCATTTTAACCCTGTACAATGTGTTTTAGAGATGAGGAAACTGGATCTCAGAGGCAGTGTGTCACTTTCCTAGAGTTACACAGCTAGGAAGAGAAGCACAATACCCACTTTCTGTTACCCCCACTCATTTCTGTCTACTTACTCCTTAGATCTAATAGGAAAGAAGATTTATACCTATTCTATGTAAGTAATAAAGGGATCATGGGAACAGCCAGGAAGCTCCATCCAGAGTAACAATCTTGTCCTGCAGAGGCAAACATTAGCTGGGCATGATGGCACACACCTGTAATCCTTGCACTCAAGAGGCTGAGGCAGGGGGATATGAGTTTGAGGTCAGCGTGAACTACACAGCGAGACCCCGTCTCCAAAAAAACCTCAAACAAACAAACCAAGAAGCAAATGTTAAGAAAATATTTCCAGTTCGTATTTCATCCACTTATTTGTGCTATTTTCAACTCAACTTCAAGTAAATAAGGTGCATCCTCCTGTTGGAAAGCTTGGTGGGTTGTTGAGTCAAAATCAATTGGTAGATACTAAAATTAATAGTAGACAAAGTTTGAAGAGGAACAAGATATTTGCAGTCTCTAAGTATTGCCCCACAAGATATTAACAATCAAGGGAAGAATAGATTTATAATGAAGAAACCCAGCAGACACTGTCATAACCAAGTAATCAAGGCTAATAAGAGATACTGAGAAGGTCACATCATTTTGGTGGCATTCCTGCCAAAATCTTATTCCACTGAGGCTTCAGACCCACGAAAGTTGAAGGACATCCTATAAAACACCCAAGCACTATACTTCCCAAGTGTCAAGGTCATGAAAGATGAGCTGTCAGATGGGAGGAGACCAAGAAAACGTGGCAATCCAGTGCAGTATTATAGGAGGAACCCTGGTCAAAGTCAAACAGGATTTGTACTTAAAGGCACAGTACCAGTACACACTTCCTAGCTTTAGCAATTGCACTATGGCTGGATAGAATGTTAACATTAGGGGAAGCCGAGAGAAGAGATACAGAGATTCTGTTTGTACAGTTTACATCTACAATTTAAAATAAGAGGTTAGGAAAAAGTGGCTTAAAAAGAGATGCTAAGTGTCATCAGTATCTAAGTGAGATTTACTTCTCAGCATAGAATCTGAAGAATTATACATGAAGGGCTGGGGATTTAGCTCAGTGGTTTCACCGCCTGTTGCACAAGTGCAAGGACCCGAGTTCGAACCCCAGTACCAAAAAAAAAAAAAAAAGAATTATACATGGAGAAATTTAGGAAGGATTTTGTGTGATTGTTTTAGCCCATATTCTATTATTAAGAACAGAATACTTGGGCCGGGGATTTAGGTCAGTGGCACTGTGCCTGCCTTACAAGTGCAAGGTTGTGAGTTGGATCCCAGGTACCAAAAAAAAAAAAAAAACAAAAAACCAGAATACCTGATCCTGATGTGTTGTCTTTAGGGCAAAATACCTGAAAACTCAAAGGAGGAAAGGTTTATTTTGGGTCATGATTTCAGAGGCTTCAGCTGATAGCCAGTCCCACTGCTTCTAGGCCTGTGGTGTGGCAGAAACACCATTGTGGGAAGGTGTGGTAGAGAAAAGCTGCTCACTTCATGGCAGCTGGGAGCAGAGAGAGCAAGAAAGTGAGAGCAAGAGGGAATGAGAAGGTAAGAGGGAGTCAGAGCATGAGAAGGAGCGAGAGCAGGAGAGTAAGCATGACCCTCACTGCTTTCCTCCTTTTCTCCTGTTTTCATTCCATCTGGGCCCCAGCCTATTGGACAATGCCACCACTTTCAGGGTGGGTCTCCCCTTCATTTTACTGTCCCACATGCCAATTATCTCTGAAAGCATTCTCACAGACACACCGACAAGTGTGCTTTACTAACTTCCTAGACTTTTCTCCATCCAATCAAGTTGACTGTTAGACCCAGCGAGAACCAACCAGAGACTGATATTAAATCCACACAGGAGTGCGAGCCGAGCATCAGACTCGAGTCTCGACTGGGGGTTGACAAACATGTTTTATACACCTTTGAGGCCAACAGTTTCTAGGTCCCCCTATGGGATAGAACTAGTAAAGCAAGGGAAAGGTACAGAAGTGGAACGTCCTGCTTTTAGAACATTTGTAAAACAACAGTTGATTAATTGTTATTTCTAAAGAGACTTTCTAAGGGGAGGAGGTTTTTAAGCTTCCTCCTTCTGAGTTTATCTAAAGGGCAGGCAGGTGGGTCAAGCAGCAATATGGAGTGTTTTGCTAACTAGGGTCCTTCACTGACAACCAAGATTAATCATCACAAGTCCACCCCTTATCAGTGTGAAGCCAAATCACACTTAATCTCCAAATCATATTTAATCTCCACATAAATACAAAAATAAGGTCATCATTCCACTAAACACAACTATCCTGCATACAACTAAAAATGCACTAATTATTTTCTCAAAGTCTCAACAGTCCCAGCATTGCTCAACAGCCTAAGTCCAAAGTTTCCTCTAAGAATCAAGGGAAATCTCAACTGTGTGAAACCCTATAAAAAATATTTTTTAAAGTTACATATTTTCAACAAAGGCACAGGGTAAGCATTTCCATTTCAAAAGGGAGAAATGGGGCCAAGGATTTAGCTCAGTGGTTCTGCCTTCTGCGCCTGCCCCACAAGCAAGAGCAAGAACCCACCCTGAGTTCAATCCCCAGTACCAAAAAAAAGGGGAGAAATGGGGTATGGAAAGGAGGGATGGATCTGGGTGTGGTGGTGCATACCTGTAATTCCAGCACTCTGGCAGGCTGAAGTAAGAGGGTCTCAAGTTTGAGCTCAGGCTGGGCAAATTCACAACTTAGCAAGACCCTGACTCAAAACAAATAGGACTAAGAATATAGCTCCATGTATGGGTCCCTCATACTAGGAGGAAAAAAGCATGGATGGAACCAAACCAAGATCAAAACCCAACAAGGTAATCATTAAATCTGTAGCTCCATGACTGGTATCTGGGGCATGCAGTGGTATGATGTGAGCTCCAGAGGGCTCCAGCAGCCCCACCTATATGGCCTGGCTAGTTGCTGTCCATATAGCACCCTCAGGCTGGCTCTGCTCACTGCCTGTAGCTTTCCTTGACAGACACTGCATGTTCCTGGCATCTCCAACTTCCTGGGGTCTGCACTGCAGCTTCTACCTCACTCTCGCAGTGCCCAGGTCACCCTCTCACGGGCTACCTGCAGGGACTCTAACCTTGTCACATACTGCCTGGCCTCTCAGATCTCCTTTTGAAATCTGCATGAAATATATGAAATAATCAAGTTATAAAGAGAAAGGGTTTATTCTAGCTCAGTTTTGGAGGTACCACTCCATCATCAGTTGAGACCATTGTTTTGGGGCTATGTGAAGGGAACACATCATGGTGGGAGCACGTGGCAGAGCAAAAGTGTTTACCTCATTTTCAAGAACCAAAAAAAGGAAAGAAGGTGCTAGAATCCCATAGTCCCCTTCATGGGCATGACTCCAATAATCTAATGACTTTTTACTAGGCCTCCCTCATTTCTTAAAAGGCTCCATCACTTCCCAATAGCACTGTGTTGGGGACCAAGCCTTTAATACATGGGCCCTTAGGGAATATTCAAGATCTAAAGTTTAGCAAGCTTCACTCACCAACATCTTTAACAATGACAATCAAACTTCCACGAGTTCCAGAGTAGACAAACCATATTCAAACCACAGCAGTAATTGTCTAATATCCTGAACAGATTCTCCAGATTGTCTGTTCCTGAATTGCTGGGATGACTAGGTGACAGAGGGTCAGAAAGCCCTTGACTAGGCTCAGACACAAAGGACAGCTCAAGACCTGCACTTTTTCTGTCTCTCCCACTCCTTTGAAAAGCTCCAAATCACAAGACCAGGCGTCATCACAAGGTAGCAGTCTATCAGGTCTGGGAGTCAGCACAGACTCTCCTTGTCCACACTCTCATGACTGCCCTGAATCTATCTTAAAGAAGTACAGTATTTTCAGAGAGAAGCCCCCAAACTGACTAAAACACTAATCAGTTTCTGGCCCTTTGTGCTATCCTTGCAGTAAGTTTTATTATACTTTGGAAATCCAGACCACGCATTTCTTCCTGTGACTAACACTGGGCTCACACTTGCTGAGTAAATTGGGCCACAAGACTGGCAGACAATTAGAGTTGGACACAAAGACAGCATCTCAGGGAATGCTATCTGCTGGAAAAAGAGGGATCCATACCCAAAGATGTGAGGACAGCGGACAGTCATCTTTTCTCCACTGACCCCTGACCCCCACAGGTTGGTATGCCTCCTACTCCAATCAGATGACCAATGCAGACCTTTCAGGTTACGCATGCATGTATGCTTCCTGATACCTTCCTCCCAGATAGATATACCTTCCAATGTTTACAGGACTGAGCTATTTCCTCAAGCTGGATAAAAATGCTGCCACACAGCTGTGGCCACTCCATGCAGGCCACTCCTTTACCTATCAATTCCAGAGACTAATTTTGAGAAGCCCGTTCAAGATCACTATTGATAGAGCCCAGACAGGGACACCGCGAGTTCAAATGAGCCCACCATCCCTAAAGAAATGTAGGTTTCATTTTACTTAGGTCACAGAGGACACATCGGCAGGTCAGAAGCAGTCTCCCAAGGACATGTCAGCAGGTTACAGAGGACACATTAGCAAGCCACAAACTTGCCATTTTACCAACCCACCGCCTCAAACGCTGGCCAAAAAATGCTCTGGTGTAGCAATAAACCTGTTTGAACTGTTGAGTTCACATCCCTGCTTTCCCACTCAACTATAGAAGCATAAACTGTCACACCGAGAACTGCTGTCATTTTAGCCATATCATAGTCATCCACCATGTGACGATGTTTTAGTCAACTATGGGCCCCATATGTGATTGCCTAGCATCACTGTAGCCATCTACACAAGTTTGCCCAAGTACACTTTGATGCTTCCATGACAAAGTCACCCAACACATTTTTCCGCATGTGTCTCCATTGGTTAACAATGCAGAGGTATATTTTCTGTAACTGAGCACAAGTAAATATGAAGTATAAAACTACATAGCGAACAAGTTACAAAAATAGATATTTATTGTGTTTCAATGCTTGTATTATACAGTCACAATACATTTAAGTCTTTGTGTTAAATATAAATTAAATGAACACCAAAAAACTATAAACAAATTGGGAAAACTGCCAGAAAATCCTTCCAAGCCATGACTCATTAAAACTGTACAATGGGGGGCCGGGGATTTAGCTCAGTGGTTCCGGCACCTGCCTCACAAGTGCAACGTCTGGAGTTTGATCCCCGGTACCAGAAAACCAAAAACTGTACAATAGGATGATGTCGTTGGCAGCACAGCAGCCATGTGTAAATGTTGAAAACCACAATACAGGAGAAAGTGACTCAGAATGAAGCCATGGTGGGTTTCACTATCTACAATGAGTTGGTCAATGAGATGCCTCAGCAAAGGCACATCTTTTGTGTAGAGCCAAGGGTTGCATCATTAAGCCACAGGTTAACTCCATACCAGCACAGGGGAATGCACCCACAAGATGAGCCACACTGCCTGAGAATATGAATTTCAGAGGACCTAGTATTGAGAAGAACATCCACTTCACCTCCAAAAGCCTTTACAGAGCCCTAACTTAAAAGCAGATGACCAAAACCGACTGGATGGGACTATGTCCTCAATATTCACAAACAGCAAAACATACTCTTAAACAAGGAAACTTGCTGCATTTCAAAAGGAAAGGGTTCAGATGCTGATCCCAAGAGAGGACAAGTTACTGCAGCCCAAACACCGAGTCTTCAGTCAGTTCTGCGGCTGCATCTGAGGCACGTGAGCCCTGTGCTCCTGAGTCTTCCTCATGGAGCTGTGCTGTGCACGGTTTCCACTGCCTTCCTCATGCAGGTGGTTTGACAGCTATAGAATGTGCTAAGAACCACACATATGCTGAGCCCCACACAGGGCAGAGCCCAGCCTAGCAGTTTCCACCCCATACCAGGACCTGGCTGTATGCCTACAGTCCAGAACTTAGCAGCAGTCCCTCCTCTCTCAGGGCTGGAGGATGGCCTATGCACTGCCACCACCATTTCCCAGAAAGTGCACATGGAAACAAACCCAATGGCGTCAGTTACGAGACTCAGAGGCAGTGGGGCTGCGGACTGTGGACATGAGGTGTGACTTGTAGGTCTTGCTTAGGCCTGTCATCCAGAATTTCAGCAGCTTGACATTGTCCTCCTCGGCAGCACCCAGGACGCTCAGGAGCTTCTGTGTGTCTTCCTTGGGCCGACTGTCCACCTTGGTGAATTTAAAGAGGACCTTCACTTTGCTGCAGAAAACCAAAAACACACACTCAGGTTATACCCTAAGTACCAGAGCTCATGGGGCTGAAATGGATTCTACACTAACGGGGACGCTGCAGGCCCAGCTGGGATTCCCATACTCAAGAGGCGGAAGGAGCTCAGCACAGGAGCAGGTGCATGTGCACACCAAGGGTAAGCTCATCCTGTCAACACAGCAAGGAGAAAGACAGTGCTGTATACCTGCAGCTCCTATAACTTACGAGGCTGACGCAGGAGGACTGTTTGAGTACAGGAGTCTAAGGTCATTCTGGGTAACACAGTGAGACCCACTTCAAAAAAGAAAAAAGGGAATGGGTAGACCTGTCCTTCAATTCAAGGAAAAACAAATTACTGCTGAATACCATTGCATTAGTAGGGCATCTGATTAATTAAAATTTGATTAAAAAAATTACTAAAAGCAAGGCAGGAGAAAACAAAGTAATTTGCTAAAAAAAAAAAAAAAAAAAAAAAAAACACGTCTGAAAAGCACTGTGGTTTATCTTCTTCTGCTGGAGTCTTCTGATCTTGCTCAAAGCCATAAATACATTCACTTGTGGTAATTTGCTAAAAAAAAAAAAAAAAAGGAAAAAAAAGAACCTGCTGGGGTTACGACTTGGTGGTGGAGCAATTTTCCAGCATATACAAGGCCCTGGGATCCATCCCAAGTACCACAAAGAAACAAAACAAAAAAAGACAATACATGTTATCTCATTTAGAATTTTAAAAGTTAACTAAGCAGTAAAGTAACAGAACTTCAGTTAAGAACCTTCTCAGCATACTGGGCATCCTTCCTTGCCCTCAACAGTTGCTAGAGACAGAAGCTGTCCCTACCTCACAGAGGAGGAGAGCTGGAGCAGGAGACACTGGTACTTCATCAAGATTGTGAAACAGAAGGGCTAGTGTCTGAACCGCCACTCAAAACCACTACTCTCACCAGCTCCCCACAGCCAAGCCTGGCCTTTTTCAGAACCAGTTCCTGCTTTTCCTCAGCAAATCTGCTGTCATGGGCAGCTCCATCCCCCATGGGCAGTCTCACAGCTGGTGCTTACTTCATCCACTCCTCCTTGAGGCAGACGAGGCACTGGTCCACCACATCCACAGACAGGTTCTGGTTGGTCAGGGCCGCTTCAATCTTATTCAGGATGGTGGGGCCAACTAGGGACAAGGCGGAGCCAAAGAGGCTTCAGTGCTGGGGTGAGGGGCAAGCCCTGCCTGCTCTGATAGAAGGCAGCCCCAGCAACAGCACCCACCTCGGTCTGCAGCCACTGGGCTCCCACTGGTCACCACAAACTCATACTTGCTGAGAGACTGGTCATCCTCACATCCAACTGGATGGAGGGCAGAGCGCGTGGCTGTGTGGACCTCCACGACAACTGCAAACTCTGTGGCAAGGCAAAATACAGCACTCTCGTTTCACCTCTAATAAGCCCACACCATCCTGCCACACCACAGTACTGTACATCAGCTGGGAGCCACCACCATGCAGAGGTCTCCTGAAAGAGATGCTCTTATGTTGAAAACTTTTGCCATGTTAAAACAGAGCTGTTGGACAGCTTTTGCCTCAGTTAAACCAAAAATTTTTATATTACAATATAAAATTATCATACATCCATCACGTCATACTAAGCAACATTATAATGGCAGTCTTGTCACCCCATTTTATAATTGTGAAACAGACTCTGAGAAGTTCAGTAATCCGGCCAAGGTCATATAGCTAGCGATATTAGGAATTTCAAGCCCATCTCTGGAATTCTGTAACACTACCCAGATTACAGGCCCTGCCCTGTGGGTCTCAGGTGCTGGCCTGGTGCTGAAGACCAGCTCAGAGCTGTGGTGGCCACACTCTGCCAGCTCTCCTGCAGCATGTAGGCCTGAGCATGGTCCCCTCCTAACTGACATGCACGGGAGCCACTGACCTGACTACAAGACCAGAATTACATCCAGGATGGCTCCTAAGCCTCCCCAAGCCAAGGACAAAGGGCTGACACTTCATGGTTCTGCCCATGAAGGAGCTACCATGAAGTAGGCCCCAACTATATTCACGAGTGGCACACACAAGGAGGGAAAACCTGGCAAGGACCAGAAGTGGGCAGGAGACCACCAAGAAAAGGCAGCCAGCAACACTCCTGGATCATGACCACACTGTTCTTGTCTCTAAGCCCAGCAAGACTTATAGTCTGAGGTAGACTCACCAGAAAGTGGATCTCCAGCTGCCTATTTCTATTGTCCTCCATGGACCCTCTACCCCCAGGACCATGACCTCCTACCCTCTGAGAACCACAGCCCCTGTGAGGCAACCCCACCCATTCTGAAGCAGAAAATGGAGGCCTAAAGCCACTAGGAAAATTGGTTCTACACATGGATCCTCCGGTCTCAAGGACAGCAGGCTCCATCCTAAAACCCATGACTGAGATCCAATTTCACCTCTGGGCTGAGGTGTAGGACCCTCCCAGCCTGCCCTGCAGTGGGCAGCATGTACCTGAGGATAGCACATGGGCGGGGATCTGCACGTGCGGGCTGAGCCCCAGGAAGTTGCACCGGTAGGCCTCCTCATACTGGCTGCTGTACGGGATGATCCGGACACAGCCTACAGGCAGCATGGTCTGTAGAGGACAGGCGGTTCAGAACCCACCATTGCAAGGAGCCTACCCCACATGCCCTCTTCAGCCCTTCCTCCTCAAGAACATCTCTCATCACAAGGCCCTAGCTCCTCTCCTAGCCACTGGTCACACACTAACTCATTCTGCCTCTTGCTTTGCAGTGTGAAATGGTATGTTACTCTGCCTTCTTGGATGTTTGTCTCTTCCCCTCTCTCAAAGAGCTGATAAGCTTTGTGAAATAGGGTCCTATTCCTTTCTATAGTCATAGGGCTACGTAGGCATGCACATACCTTCCAGGACTTAAAACGCCAGGCTGCTGCCCTGTGCACTACACCTACCACTCAGCACCTGCCCATCAAGAATAATGCCATGTAGAGGGCATGGGCCAGACCCATACCCATGGCTTCTTAGTGGACTAAAGGCTTGGGGAAGGACAGGTAGGGCAGCTGTCTATCAGGACACCATCACTGACTGCCACTTAGAGATGAGAAAAGCTGGGGATTTAGCTCAGTAGCACCACACCTGCCTTGAAAGCACAAGGTCCTGAGTTCAATCCCTGGTACTGGGGGAAAAAAAAACAGAGATGAGAAGACACTGGTCTTGGACTCCAACATGGACAGCTCACAGGCTCTCACTGAGTGCCAAGTGTGTCATGACATCTGCGCCTATCGTCAGGTACTACGCCCATGAAGTTGGCCCAGATAACAGGTGAGAAAGAGGCGCTCTTACCCTAAGAACTTCAAATGCTGACTGGACCAGGTCCACGTCTCTGGTTTTCCAGATCACCTGGTTCCCCATGAGAACGTGCCAGGCCAACATGCGGAATGATGGGGCACCCAGGACCTGAAACAACACACAGTGCTTTCTGCATATTAACAGAAGTCATTTCTCACTTCCTTCTGAAGGAAGTTACTTTCTTCATTTGGAAACTCTGTATGGCAAAGGAGTATAGGGTCAGAAAAGAAAGATACTTCTCAGCACACTGGGGCCACCTCCCTGAGGTTGACAGGGGACGAGGCAAGTCCCCAGATCTACAGTAAAGGCTGGATTCCAAAGCTCTTGCACCCTGAAGAGCTTTCCTGCTTTTAAATTTTGAAGTAACTTTTCCATCAGTTACCTTCTCTCTATAGACATGCTGTACTTTGCTGAGCCATTTGAAGTGAGCTGTAGATAGCACAATACAACAGTACCCATGTGCTCGCTTTGACAGCACATATACAACAGTACCCAAGAAGACCACAGGCTGCAACCCACAACCTGGTCCATGCCTCCAGCTGAAACATGACAGCCAGTCACACGGTGCACCTTGCTCCTAGTATGTCCTTTGCAACTGCAGTTCTTTTGTTCCTAGTAACAATTCAGGGTCAACATTGCTTTCACCTGTCAGGTCTTTACTCTCTAAATAGCTCCTCCTCCCTTTCCTCTTACTCCCAAGATGCTGACATTTTAGAAAAGGACAGTCTTATGCCTTCTAAGAACCCAAACATGGGGCCAGGGATTTAGCTCAGTGGTTCCGCCACCTGCCCCGCAAGCTCAAAGGCCAGAGTTTGATTCCTGGTACCAAAAAAATTTAAGAGAAGAACCCAAACATGATTCTGAAACAAAACCAAACAAAAAAAGAGGTGACGATCACACATCTTACCAAACTCCACCAACTTCAAAGTACCCTGATCCCTGGTGGAAATCAAGATTCCTTCTAACATTAACCCATGTAAACACTCAACAAAGCATTTCAGCCAAGATACTGTGGATGGAAAGAGCATTTTTTCCATCCAGAACCCCAGGGGGTCATCTGATATTAAATCATTCTTTTTGTTTTGTTTTGTTTTTTGGTACCGGGGATCAAACTCGGGTCCTTGCACTTGCAAGTCAGGCAGCGGAACAACTGAGCTAAATCCCCGGCCCTTATTAAATCATTCTTATTTGCTCCATTTGCCAAAACAGAAATAAAATCAATGTTCATTATAAAAATGAATACAGAAAATATTACAAAAGGGACAACTTGTCCTCATAATCAAGCAAGCCTGCCCTCCAATGTGACCCAACACATCACAGCTGTTCTGGTGTGTTAGACTACCTGTTATACACACACATCACATACACACCCATCACCTGGACCATACTCCTGGCCTGTTCTCTTGGACTTAACATTTCACAGTTTGGACATACCCTAACTGTTATGTTTGGACATTCAAGTTGTTGCTAGTTTTTGTTTTGTTTTGTTTTGTCTGTTTTGGTACTTGGGATTGAACTTGGGTCCTTGCGCTTGCGAGGCCGGTGGCGGAACCACTGAGCTAAATCCCCAGCTCTGTTCCTAGTTTTTTATAAAAAATAACCATTGCTTTCAACTGCAGAGTCTTGGGCCCACACAAACCAATAATAGTGCTATACAAACTCTTCAGAAGGTTCTAAAAAGTCAGACATGGTGGCACTTGCCTGTAATCTTAGCACTTGGGAGGATGAGGCAAGAGAATCGCCATGTGTTTGAGGCCAGCCTGGGCTAGTGAGTTCAAGGTCAGCCTTAACTATATAGTGAGACCATGTCTAAAAACAATAAAGAGGTTCTTCTAGAACATCAAGCTTAGGAGCCAGAGGAAGCTACCTATCCAGGCCTTTGTCTGAACACAGATCCTATGTTGTCACTAAAAGGGGAACACAAAGCCAGGAATGGTGGCAATGCCTATAATCCCAGCACTCTGGGAAGCTGAGACAACAGTTCAAGCCCAGTTTGGCCAACTTAGCAAGACCCTGTCTCAAAATAAAACATAACACAATAAAGGTAATCATTATGTTACTCCAAACATGTACTAATATAAAATGATTTGTTTTGTTTTGTTTGGTACCGGGGATCGAACTCAGGACCTTGCGCTTGCAAGGCAGGTGCCAGAACCATTGAGCTAAATCCCTGGCTGTTTCAGTTTTTTAAGACAAGGTCTCATTACATTGTTCAGGCTGTCCTCGAACTCACAGTGATCCTTCTGCCTCAGCCTCCTGAGTGGTAGGATTAAAGGTGTGTGTCACCATGCCCAGCTACAGAATAAATACTTTTTCAAAGGGGACAGGGCCAGGGATTTAGCTCAGTGGTTCCAGTGCCTGGCTCGCAAGCTCAAGGTCCCAAGTTCGATCCCAGGTACCAAAAAAAAAAGCGGGGGGATGGGGCTGTAATTCAATGGCAAGGTCCTGGGTTCAATCCCTCATACTGAATAAATAATAAACAAAATAAAAGGAATGCAGTGGTGCTGTAGCTATACACCCCAGATGCTCATGTATCTTCAGCCACACACTGAGAAGGTTCCTGGCCACTCCCTTGGAAGAAGCCAGGCCCACTCGGGTGTTCTCCTGGTTTCTGATGGGAGGGAGCTCCAGCTTCTGCAGCTTACCTGTCTCATGTGCCTCAGCGATTTGAACACAGACAGTTTCCGGGGCTGCCAGCTTCCACAGTCTGACCTTAAGGACAAATCTGTCAGACATTTGGTCAGCTCCCGCCCTTCTGCACCCTCCGGCAACACAGGGGCCTTGTCCTCCTCTTCAGCCTCAGAGTTGTCCCAGCTTTCTGATTCCTCTTCTAAGTCTACAGGAGAGATGATAAGGATTGTTACAGAACATCTCTCCCCCAGTGTGACAGACTTGTTCCTTGACCGCTGCAGGCCCAGGCATTTTGTGATTATGCCCAGCGTCACTGGTGCTTCTGCATGTCCCTGTGGCTACTCTCCTGGGAGCATTGAGAGGACAAAAAGGGATTCAGGGCTGTTTACATGGCCTGGGTATCACACTATGTTTTAGGATGACTTACTAAAAGTTGTTTCCTCATTGGTAGAAAACTCACAACACCGAGCAGAATGTTGCACTGAGTGTTTACTCAGTATGTGCTCTACTACACGCTCTCCCAGGGTTCCACACACTTAGCCCTCTGACTTGCTGAGGTCAACACTACCACCCCCATTTCACAGGTGAAAATAGAAAGATTTGTTTGAGAGTCTGCATAACAGTCTTCACACATAATTGCATTCGTGTGACAATTAAGACCTGAGGGGAGGGGTATGCAAAACAAAGCCAAGTCTGTGTGATTCCAAAGTGAGTGCCCAGCACAACCTAGACTACAGCAGAGCACCTGGCATCTCACACCCCTGAAACCTTCTGGAAAACTGACTTCTCTGTGCAAACACACCTCAAGAGCCTGGCCCTGCCACCTGCCCTGGCCTCGAAGTCTGTGACTGACACACGAATGAACGGTGCTAGGGCCACCGGACATGGGCATGTGAGGACAAATGTGAAGTTCTGTTTTCTGAGCATGCTGTGCTCTTGCTGAGACCTCACTCCTGACCTTCCCCACTTGGGAGACCTTGCTAAAGTGTAAGTGTGTGCAGGTCAAGTACCTGACCACAGATCACCTGAAAGGGCTCCAAAGGGTTAGAAGGCCCATTCTTTGCAAACTGAAGCACAAGATGCGTTGTTAGTAACAAACTGTGCCCAACACACATTCCAGGGTCCCTGGGAAGTGAGCCTGATACACAGGACTCTGTACCCCAGGTGTGGAGATTCTGACCACGAACCTGGGGAGGCAAGGAACTTGGGAGACTGGGGCACCATTGCCCTTGCTGGAAAACTTGGGCCCAATTGACACAGCACTATTTTTGTTCTGAGCAAGGAGTAAGAGACTTTCTCTAAGGACAAGCTCTGGCTATTACTGTAAGATATGGGCAGGAAAATCTTTAGTCAATTCTCTCTTGAGACACCCCTAATCTTAGACTCTGTAAATCTATCTGGGGAATGAACTATTTCAAGACACCATCAAGGAAAGTGAAACAAGAAAGCACAACAAAAACATAAAGAGCAATGGGCCAGCTTTTAGGAAGGCTCATCACAGTCTTCCTCAGAGCCACATCTCTCTACATCAGCAACTCCTGCCTGGAAGCCAGGAGCTGGGTGGCTCCCACAGTCACCTCAGGTAACCCCTGCCCCCAGAAGCACGCAGCCTCACCAGCAAGCTTCTCCATCTGCACCAAGGTGTCCTCTGTCGGCGCGCCCTCTAGGAGTTTCTCTGTCAGCCGGCTGCCACACGCCTTCAGGAGCCTACAGAACACAGCGCCCGGTAAGAAGACTTTTTGCCAAAGGGAAGCCTGGCAACTGTGAGTTTACAAGAAACATAGTCCTAAAAGAACAAGCTGGCCAGGCAGAGTGGCCCACATCTATGGCCCCAGTGACTTAGGAGGCTGAGGCAAAAGGACTGCTTGAGGCCACGAGTTCAAGGCCAGCCTGGGTGACATGGTGAAAACCTGTCTTACATAAACAAAATGAAAACATCCTAGCTGCCACCACAAGGACACAGCCTGATCTGGAATGTAGGTCATTCTTCAAGACATGACTGAGGTCCTTCATGAAAGGGCATGGGAAAAATAAGGGCATGGGAGCTAGTGAGAACTGCTTGTTCTGATCCCGGTTTAAAAGTCATCACTGAGCTTGAAGTGTGGCTCAGTGGTAGAACACTTGTCCTGCATGCACAAGGCCCTGGGCTCACCTTTGAGACCAAAGGGAACACTGAACATGTACTGTGCACTGGACAGAATAATGGTATTATGGTTATATTTATACTTGAAATGCCTGGGCTAGTGAGTTCAAGGCCAGCCTGAACTACATAGTGAGATTCTATCTCAAAAAAATTTTTTTTTAAATTAAATACAGAAAAGAGAGAGAAGAGAACACAGTAAAATGGTGATAACTGCTAAAGCTGGATGGAGGGTGGTAACTGGTTCACTGCACTGTTTGCTCTACTTTGGATCTGTCTGAAATCTCTAAAATAGAAGTGATTTCTACAATAAAGGAGCGCTGGGTGTGTGGCACATGCCAGTAATCTCAGCACTCGGGAGGCTGAGGGAGAAGGATTGGAGCCAGTCTGAGGCCTGCCTGGGCTACACAGCAAGTTCAAGGTCACCCTGAACTACATAGTAAGATCTTGTCTCAAAAAACCTAAATAAATAAATAAATAAATAAATAAATAAATGGCTCAATTTAACCAATGTCTACAGACAGACATGCGTCATTAGCATCCCATGACACTGTCAGGCAGCATCTTATCCAAGCACTGCTGGATATACACTCCACTGCTACCTAGGATATTGTTTTGTTTTGTTTGAGACACTGTCTCCTTCTAGTTCAGACTGGCCTTGGACTCGCTGCAATCCTCCTGCCTCAGTGTCTTGAGCACTGTGATTACAGGCATGTACCACCACACCCAACTTGACTAAGAAAGATGCCATTATGTGGCAAGTGACTACTTGTCAACACATCATATTGTACACTATTAAAAAAAAGTATACAGAGTCTGCCAAAAAAATGGATACACACTTCAGGAAAAGAAAAACTTGTATAAATATTTTAATACTAAACTTACTGAGAGATCATGAGATTAATAAAAGTTTCCTTAGGCCTCTACAGTCACAAGAGGTGTTCAAAGTGGTGGCCATTAGCTTCCAGACATTTAGTATTTTTCTTTTCCTGAAGTGGGTATATAGTTTTTTGGTGGACTCACATATACATATATAGTAATAACTCAGTTCATGAACGCTACTATTTGCAAATAATTCAGTTCGCAAACATAAGTGTTTGGCAAAACTTTGCTTTCATTCACAAACTCTGCAATGGGTCACCTTTCCCAGAATCAAGGAAGGAATTAAGTTCATGAACATAGGTACCACGGTATATATGTACATATATAATTTTCACTTGTCTACTTAAAAAAATTTATAAATACAGGAAAGACTGTATGACAGGTGGAGGAACAGATACTTTTCAGTTTGCATGATCTTAGGAGGTGAACTTGGGTCCACCTTAGGACTTCTTCCATGCCAGGACAGATGTATACTACAAGACATGGACTTTAAGCTGATCCCCACATGGGAACAAGCTGAGGGTTGGGGATTCTGGCCAGAAGATACCCTGTAGTGGGAGGACAGAAGAGTGCACAGCCAGAAACATACTAGCAGTTGCACAAGTCCACAAATGCACCGACACTCAAGTGCTAGAGGCTAATCCTCCCCAACAGGCAACAGCACACACTTCAACCAAACACCAAGTGCTGGAAGGGACAGCAGGTCCCTGCTGAGCTCAGGGCCATAAAACCTTGTAGATCCCACCCCTTGGACGGGGCACTCTGGAGGTGCCAGTTCCATTTTTCACTGCCCATAGCCAGCCCTGTTCACCCTGCTCCTCCAGTCAGGCCTCAGTTGACTACAGGCCTGGCCAAAAAACTCCTGTGACCTGAGCCAGAAGACCCAGCTAAGCCAATTCTGACTTCCTAACCCACAGCAGCTGTGAGATAAATGTTTTCATTGTTTTTTTAAGGAGCGGATTATTGGTCTTGGTACAGAAACATTTTTTTGCTAACAGTGGGAAGAAAGTTCCACCTAAATTTTTCTTCTCTCCACCAGGGGAAAGAGGCCCAGAGAACACCCATTGGCCAGTTCCACACTCACCAAGGGGCACACACAGGGCCCAGGCTCTCCCAGTAGGCAGCCCAGCAAACTCGGCAAGGACTTTCTCCCAAAACTAAGGATAATCCAACCAACACTAATGACTGTTCTCATTCTAACAGGGGCCAAAAGCCACAAGGCACTCATTACCAGGCAAAGGAGGTGTGCAAACAGGCCCACAGGTTGTCATCGCTGGTCAAGGAGGTGAGTGAGCGGGCTGCATTGCCATTCCTCTGGTGCAGGAAGGGCGTGAATGCCGTGTTCATCCTTTGAGCACGCTGGGGGCATCCAAACTGCTCTGCCTCAAACACCTGCAATGCCAAGGGGAGAGCAGCCTATAATAAAGCCAGCCACTGAGCCAGCCACTCCTTCCCCCAGATACTCTTACTCTGTCCTCTTGACATAGAACACAGAAAGCACCTAAAGTCTGACCATCACACACAGTCTGACTCTGTCCCCTTGCAAAAGGGAATTGGTAGAGATTTCTCCACTCACCTATTAGATACTTGGGCCACACAAGCACTGCAGCAGCCTTGAGTACTGATCTCCAGGTGCTCTGGCCTTCCCTTCTGCACACGAGTGCCATGTGACTACCTCTAGCAACCAGAGCAAAGGCAGGGCCCTCCACATTTCAACACGGGCCAAAAACAGGCCCTGTGGTCTGGAGACACTGCGATCTGAGGGCTCTCACCACTGCACTCTGTCCTATGCTGAGACAGCAGTATAGTGCAAGGCCTCTACTTGGGCGCCGGGGGGTGGGGGTGGGGGGGATGGGTCTGACCAAGACTAATGGGCAGTCTCTGACATGAAGGGCAGGGGAAGTAAAGACAGGAAGGAGGAAGCCAGTGACCTGATTGCAGCAAGGAAACCAGAGGTAAAGGAGACCCAGGACAGTGAATACAGGTGAGACAAGAAAAGCAGGCAGCTGGCCAGGATGCCCATCACAGGACCTCAGTTCTGAAGCCAAGAGGAAGGTTGGGCAGCACAGCAGCCGAAGGACCAACAGTAGCAAAGCTGTCTGGGTTACTGGCATCCACACCAGAGTAAGAAGAGACTCCAGTAGTCTCCGGTGCCTCCCTAAGATGTTACCTTGAGGGCCTTGCCCTGGAGCTCATCAATGATCCCTCGGATCTTCCCGAGCAGGAAGGGCCAGGAGTTGATGAGGTAAATCCGGTCCATCATGATGGCAATGATGCTGTACCAGCGCTGGAAGCCCCTGGCCAGGCTGTCTTTGATGAAGAAGGTGTGGCTGAACACAAAACCATGTTGCTCATCCCCAAAGAAAATGGGCCCCTCACGGCCAGGGCACACCTGGGAGGAAATCACAGTAACTCAAGAACAGTTCTCTCTTTGCTTCGGTGACACGAGGTCAAAGTTTCCCTTTCAGACTTTCTTTTTTCTCACTGCCTGGGATGGAACTCTGGGGCTTGTGCATGCTAAGCCAGGCAAGTTCCCCACCGAGTCACACCTCCAGGCCCTCCTCAGACCTCTGCTGGCACAAGTTAGCCAGCAATACTCATAGGGAGAGTGGGAGGACATAGATGAGAGCAGAAAGCTCTTGTGAGCAAACTCACTTTTTTTTTCTTTTCCTGGTGCTGGGAACAGACCTCCCACAGGGCCTTGTACATGCTAAGCATACACTCCATCACTGAACAATACCGCCCACAGTCCCAGCAAATTTTTTGTTGGAACCAGGGGCAGCAAACTTTCTAGAAGTAACATTTGTTACACGGAGTTCTAGGGCTGGTACACTAGGCTCCTTACTTTTTTTCATCTTGAGCCATAAATGACTGCTGACAAATACTTTTTCTATCCTACACTCAAATGTGCCAAGGTGCTTGTCTGAGAAGAATGAAGAACCAACAGATCAAAACAGCCACTACAAGTTCGATCCCTGGTACCAAAAACAAAACAAAACAAAAAACAACAACAGCCACTACAGTCAAATCTGCATTCTCTGTTCTTAGAGAGCCCTCAGTCCCTCCCTTGTGACATCTTTAATCTTAACACACACATGAAGTAGATATGACCATCTGCCTGCCAGGAGAGGCACAGCAGGAAATTAAGGAAGGGAATTATTGACAGTGGTCACAAAGCAACAGTGAGTCAGCAGCAAGGGCTCAGGGTGTGATGGAGTGCAGTGACAAGAAATATCCTAACTGTGTCATGAGTTCCTAAAAGAAACTAAAAGCCAAGACTCAAGTGTAACAGAAGCAGCCACAGTTTAGGAACAAATCGATTCACTCTTTAGGAGGTACTGACTGAGAGCAACATGTGGTGAACCCTGAGACATACAGTGATGACTGAGACAATACAAAAAGTGATGTTTGATACAGTGACTACATATGCTAGAAATCATTCATATCTCAGAAATGAATCCAACAAGAATAGGCAAAAAGTGGTGCTTAAAGTGAAAACCTAGACTGGGTGTGGTAGTGCACACTCATAATCTCAGCACTTGGGAGGATGGCTGCATGTTCAAGCCTCGCCTAGTCTGCACTACATAGTGAGTTCAAGGCCACCCTGGACTCCATAGTAAGACCTTGTCTCAAAAAAAAGGGGCCGGGGATTTACCTCAGTGGTTCCAGCACCTGGCTCGAAAACACAAAGTCCTGAGTTCAATCCCCCATATCAAAAAAAAAAAAAAGAGAGAGTGAGAGAAAGGAAAAAAAGAAGGAAAGCTAGTAGCATCTATTTAGAAAACTAGAGTCTATCGTTACTTATCCCTTTAAGTTCAAGGCAACTAAGGCATGCCATACTCCAGACTGCAGTGACTGCCAGGCCTTCTGGGAGAAGTCAGCCTTTTGTCTCCTGGTCTATAACTGCAGCACTGAACCTGCACATAGCCCCAGGCTCACCTCGCAACTCAGGCTCCGGACACAGGCCTGGCGGACAATGCTGAAGAGCTGGGGGTGGTTGGGGTGCTGGTGACTGACGTACTTAATCGAGGTCTCTTTATCGTGGCTGATATAGCCTGGGTGCCCTGCAGCAAGTGACCGGCAGCCCTATCCACAAGAAGGAAATGAAGTTAATTAGGTTACAAACTGTTTTCCTTGTACTGACTCTGAGATTTGTACTCATCTGAGGACTTAAATGTTTCCTAAGTAGGAAAACCAGGTCCCAGGACCCAGGGTTCATAAGAGTTGCCAGAGGCCAGAAGGCATACTTACTGAGTGCTTATGCAGCAGATATTATGAAGAGTTTTGAATCCTTACCTTACTTAATTCAAAGTGCAACCCTAAGAGGTGATGCCAGGAAGACGCCCCATTTTATAGAAGATAAAACTGAGGTTGAGCTGGGAAGGAGCGAGTCCCAAGGACCAAAGCCATGCCATTCTTCTGACCAGTGCCACTAATTCCCCTCACCCAGGCTTTGGTCTTTGGTCCTGAATAACATGTGGCAGAGGCCATGACCAGAGTCAAAGGGTCCAGAGTGGGACACTGGCCTTCACAGTGTTGGTGTGCCAACCTGAGAAGGTAGCACTCAGACCATCTGCTTGGGGGAGTCGGGGCCACATCCTGCTTCAGTTCTGCCACACTAGTGCATCTCACAGAACACTGAGACCAGCCCCTCCCGAAAGACAGATTCAGGACTCCATGGCAACCTGGACCCCACCTAAGTGGCTCGGCTGAGCCCTCCCAGACTCCTCCTTCCCGGGCCCAAATGATCTCCCTACATTGTCTTTGGATCCCTTGCTGGTGTTTCTAGCAATTGCACATTGCCTACTTCTTAGTAGAACCAAACAAAAAGTCTGTGTCGGGAGCAATGCTACATAATTTTAGGGTAAAATCATTTGGTTAGCCTAGTTCTCCTGCCTACAGCCCAGCTATGGAATTCCGAGACATAATTCCATTTTGGCCTCCTGTCACAACTGAGACCTCAATGATCCAGGGATGCTGTGATTCTCCAGGACAAGATTACACCAGCTGTAGACATCCCGGGAGGAACAAAATCTTTATCTACTCAGTTCCTCATTGTTCTTGGATTGTTACATCTTGTTTACCCAGATGTACTGAACTCTCTGCAAGTCATTTGTTTCTCCCGATGTAAGTAAACTGGGGCTTTCGGCTTTGCCAACCAGAGGAGCACTGATCAGACCCAAAGCTCAGCTTCTTCTCAGTCTCATTTTTCTACCTTTCTCGTAACTCGCCTTGTGCTGCCATGGCTCACAGGAGACTAGGACTTACTGCAGAGGTTCTAGTAACGTCCCCTTTCCCTGTTCCCTACAGTCTGGAGTCTTGTTTGCCCTGGAACGGCAAGTAGAACCCTCAACCCAGATTTCAAGCCCAACCCAGAGCCACCACCGAGGTGGACTGTTCAACTCTTTCCCAGAGCTCAAAAACCAACGTAACAAAGAATGCCAGGACTCTTGTGAGAAAGAAACTCCTCTGGGGACATTGGACTGAAGGGATCCAAGCCAAGGATGGTTGCGGTGTACAAACACAAAGGTAAATGCCATACTGGGGTGACAACTACCCGCTGGAACAGAGCAGATCAAAAAGGCTAAAAACTGGGCTGGTGTTCGTGGCACATGACTGTAACCCCAGCTACTCAGGAGGCTGAGGTAGGAAGATCAAGAGTTCAAGGCCAGCCTGGGCAACTTACCAAGACTTGTTTCAGTAAGATTTCAAAAAAAACTGTAAATAAGTGCTAGGGAGGTAGGTCAGCCATATAGTGCTTGCCCAGCATGTACAAAATCCTGGGTTCTATCCCTGGTACTGGGGGAAAAAAAACCCACAAAAGCTAAAATTGAGACAAAGGGAAAGAACCAAAGGTATCCTTAGATAAGCACATTCAAGGGCCTACTGAGAACCTGAGTCTGGGTCATCATCTGAAGGCCTCACCCAGTGCTCTCAGGACCCTAGGTCTCCTGCCCTTCTCACACCCCCCATCCCACCTCCAGTAGAGAACAAAATGTTCCCAAGATCCCAAAGACACTTGCCTCGCACATGTCCGACTTTTTGGGCCCCGGGCTGTTAGATTCAGCACTGGTCCCTTCAGCTGGGCTGTGGGCACGGACCCGACTGCTCATCTGGATGCCGCCCTCCTCCTCCTCGGCCTGCTCGCCCTGGCCAGGGCTGTCTCCGCTCCCAGCTCCCTGGGGCAGGGGTGCGTGAAGAACCTCTGTGCAGAACAGAGTTCGAGGGCCATGGAGCTCACAGAAGTGACAGAGGGCGACGATGGCATTCATGGTGCCTTGGAGGTAGGGAAGAGGCCTGTAGGGGCAGGGACACCATCAGCAGACTTGTACCTGCCACATCCCATAATCTCCCCATCGCCCCAAGAGCACTGGAACCACCTGATATCACTAACAAGTTTCCTGCACAGCACAAGCAAGTCACCTACCCAGCCAGCAGCTGTTCTGTGGAAGTGGCGGAAACAGGGTGAGCCTGGCAGGGATATGGAATCAAGGTAAGTCCCTTCCTCAAGCTTGGAGCTAGTGAAACAATTTAACATGTTCACAATGGGGCCCTATATGCATGTCTGTCCCATCAAGTGGCTTGTGGTTCAACCCACCCAATGAGAAAACCATGCATGTACCACTGAAGGTTCAAGCCAACAGTAACATGTTAAAGTCCGCAGTACCCAGTGCCATCAGAGGTGGAGGCTGGTGGTGAGTTATGAGGCAATTTATCCCTCCTCAAAGGAAGGCCAGCAGGTGAAGGGCCTCTGTTTAGGGCAAATCAGGGAAGGCTTTAAAGATGAGGGCATGGCCACATGTGGGTGGAGGCAACATCTGTAGACCACAGCAGGACAGGCAGAGTTAGGGGCCAGGGTACAGCTCAGTGGTACAATGCAGGCTTAGCATCCATCCTCAGAACCACCACAGAGGGAGGACAGCTACAGCCAGCATTCCTACCATCTCTGATGTGTGGACACTGTAGGCCACACTGGCTGGCTGGCGGGTCTGAAATACCAGGCTAGAGTGGCCCCAAACTCTGCAGACCACAGCCACATGTAGCAATTTAGACTTAAACTTACAGCAAAGCTCAGCTCCTCAGTCTTGACAACCAAGTTTTCAGTGCTCACAGAACACACGGTTCGTGGCCACCATCGGAGCAGTGCAGGTTATGGGACAATTCTGTAATCCATAGAAAGCTCCACTGGAACACTTTGCTCAGGACAATAGAAAACCATTCACATTTCTAAATGTGGGACAGTACAATGGGCAATGGCCAGGGCCCAAATGTTCTTCTCTTTTGGGGAGCTCCCCCTCCAGAATGTCCTCACCCCAGGCAGGCAGGCATGGAATAAGGCTTGGCCAGTCAAATGGCCTGCCTGGGATGTTTAACCTAGGAAAGCAAAGCAGGGAGATTCAGTGTAAATCTGCCCAACTGGCCAGGTATGGACAGACCCCTGGGAGTCCCACAGCAATGTCAGCTACACTATCAGAGATGGTGGGGCTGAGGGCGAAGGACTATGACATCCCGCATCTGGCTGTTTCTCATCAAGACTCAGCCCCCACTTGCCTGTCCCTGCTCAGAACCTCCCTAATCAGCCCACAGGGACAGGTAATCCTTCCTTTCCTCTTATTAGTCCCCTCCCTTTATCATCACCCCTTCCCCTGCTTTGAGTACCAATGAAGGTTCATCTAGTTAACTGCTGTATCCCAGCATTTACAACAGTTCCTGACACAGACGAGAGGCCAAATAAGCAGGTGCTGGGTAGATTTGGAGTTGCCCAAAGAGAGATGACACTTGTCACAAGAGTAAATGGATGTGTCCATGGACAGGAAAGATTCAAGAGCACAACCATGGAAAGACCAGAATCTGAAAGTCTAGTGGCACAGGAACCAAGAAGACTGAGTCTAAATAGAGGGCTCACAACAATGGGGTCAAGGACAATGATGGTTTACGAATACACAGTGGACTGGGGGGCATGGCTCCATGGCAAAGTACATGCCTAAAAACGAATGAGGCCCTGGGTTCCATCCCCAGCACTGCACTTAAACAAGTATTCACTGTGGAAGAGATGAAATGATTACAGATAGAATAAGGAGGTAGGGGAATGAAGAAGGGAAAGCAGGACCCAAAGTAAAGACAGAGGCAGTAACCCTGGAAAAGGAGGTCACATCTTCCTTTGAAGCAGAAATGGAAGAGAACTAAGGTTCCTTTCAGAATTGATACTAACCTTAAATTTAGCAGAATCACACCTTCACCAGCCCGACTAGACGAGAGCATGCAAAGACCTGCCACACAAGTCACCCATGGCAACAGCAGTCATATGCGAAGACTTGACATTTTCTAGGGAAGGAAAAACAAAATCACAGGTAATTCTAAGAGCAGTGACTTCTGTAGCATGAAAAAACCATTCAAGCAGCTTATAGCCAACTTCAAATCAAAGCATCACAAAAATTCAGAGAATCACCCTTTGTTGTGGTTTAGATCTTATGGTCCTCAGACGATGGTGCTAATGGAAGGTGGTAAAATTTTTAGGAGGTAGGTTTAGTGGGAGGAAGTTAGGTCACTGGGGACGTGCCCTTGAAGGGGATATTGGGACCTCTGCCCCTCTGCTTCCCAGATGCCATGGAGGCATGCAGCTCTGCTCCCTGACATGGTCCAACTGTGATGTTCTGCCTCATCCCAGGCCCAAAGCAACAGAGCCAAGCAACCAGGGACTGAAACCCTGAACCAAAATAAATCTTTCCTCCTAAGTTCATTATCTTAAGTATTTTGTCACAGTGATGGAAAACTAAGATATCTGTGGGGTTTTTTGTTTTTCCCAAAGTGGGAATTGAAGCGAGAAGCTCACTTATGCTAGGCAAGCACTCTACCACTGAGTTACATCCCCAGCCCTACACCTGTGGTCCTGAATAGCTTAGCCCTTTTGCTTTCTAAGCCATGGCTGACAAGCTGACATCACACCTGAAATTTTAGCTGAAGTCTTACATCTCTATTGCAATATTTGAAAAAAAGATCTCCCAACTTCCCCAAGAGGGATGTAATCATTATGCACTGCAAACATGTACTAATATAAAAATTAAAATTAAAAAAGAAAAAAAAAATCTTAAACATAAATATTTAAATACCTTTTGAAAATAGAAAAGTATTTTCTTTTCTTTCTTTTTTGAGACAGGGTCTCGCTGTATAGTTCAGGCTGGCTTTGAACCCACTATATAGCCCATGCTGGCCTCAAACTCACAGTCCCCCTCCTGCCTCAGCCTCACAAGTGCTGGGATTACAGACGTGCACCACCATGCCTGGCACTAGAAAGTATTTTAAAAACATGTAGTCCCCCTCCTTCTACTATTTGTTTGTTTGGGGGTTTTTTTGGTACTGGGGATCAAACTCGGGTCCTTCTGCTTGCGAGGCAGGCGGCAGAACCACTGAGCTAAATCCCCGGCCCTCCTTCTACTATTGATTGTAAGGAGGCTGTTCTGGCAACACACACAGCAAGCCAGGTCTAGAAGTTTCTCTTTCCCTTTTCTAATGGGAAGGGGAAACTACTGGCAATGCTGCTACTTCCCAGCATCTAGGATTAACATACTACTCTGCTATTACTAGTTTTGTTTTGATGAAAAATATTGTCCAACAAGAGTTCTGAACCTTTGGATCACACACACTACAGCCCCAGGCAGCCAGTGGGGAGGAACCCTAGATGACACTTTGCTTCGGAGTGATACAGACCTACAAACTGGGTCTGTACCCCTTAGCAGCCAGCCGGCATCACATGTTACTTAACCTCCCTGAATGCCACCACAATGCTGAGAAACACACTTCTCGGGGTTGGCACTACGCATCACATCTGAATTTTGGGCAGCATGACATCAGTTTTTCAGTCACTCTCCAATTCTAAGATGCATGCTCAACAAATTAATGTAGGTCTAAAAATCACCCTAACAACCTCTCCAGAATTCAAGGAACACACAGAAACCCCTCGCCATCATCAGACCTAAAGCAAGTATTTAAATTCCTCCAAGAGGTGAATACCTGTCCATGTCCCCCACTGGCTGAGCCACAGGCCTGGCCCTGGACAGTGATACCTGCATCAGCCTCCCACTCCCTGGTGCCCCTTGCCCCTGGGTCCTCTTCATCCTTACTTCCTATGCTTGTCTCATTGGACCATGGAGGATTAAAGACGCCACTAAACCATGTCTGTGGTGGTACATTCCTGTGAGGCTGAGGCAAGAGGATCACAAGTTTGAGTCCACCCTGGGAATTAGCAACTAATCAAGACTCTGTCTCAAAGTAAAAAATAAAGGGCTGGGGATGCAGCTCAGTCCAAAGGCCCTGGGTTCAATCCCCAGTACTACAAAAGTAAATATAAAAAGGCCACTAAGTTAGACCATGCTGTAAGTAAATACGGTTATTATAATGGATCTTATCCAGCAGTGAGCAAGCAGCTGCTAGCACTATATAATCTACACAGAAAGCCTAAGTCAGAGCTGGATCCCAACAAGGACTCGCTGGATGAAAACTTCTGCAGGGGATTTCTTCCAGTTCAGACTCACTTCCACTTCTACTGCATCTACTGATTCCACCTGGATTTCCAATTACAGAGCTCCCTGACATAAGACACCAGAAAGACAAACAGTTGTCATGTGCCACTGTTGCTCAATTACTTAATGACAACAGTGATAATCTAGTGCCTCCAGCACTAGACTGACTGTGGCCTTTTCTGCCATGACAAAGTTCCTCCAGTCACAGCTGGGCACTATGGGTTGTGGCAAGCACCCAAGAGCTGAAGAACCAGGACCTACTTCCAGCAAGCTCTTCCTTGCCCTCTGCTTCTCAAGGCTGCTGGTGACCATGAGGACCTCAATCCACAACAAGCCAAAGGGCTAAATATTGTTTCCAGGGCATAAAGATAAGTCTGACAATAGTATCCAAACCAAAGAGGAGCAAGGGCCTCTTCCTGCCCTGAATAGTGAGTTAGGCCTATCAGCTCATCAGAGGCCTTTCTGGAATGCCAGCCAGGGAGAAAAGGAAGGAAAACACACAGTCTCCCTCAAACTAGGTATGACACGGGGATTTAGCTCAGTGGTTCCGCCTCCTGCCCCGCAAGTGCAAGGACCCGAGTTCGATCCCCGGTACCAAAAAAAAAAAAAAATCCTATCCAAACTACCTACGACAAAATCAGGCAGGATGGTGGGGGTAGGGGAGTGAGTGAGAGAGTACTCCTCTGGGCAATATTCAGTGACTGACCAGCAGCTTCAATCCAGGTTACCTCCCTCATCCCGGTAGTTTATGGATGTGTGCCTCACCGTTCCTCTCCATGTCAGGGTCCAGTGAAGCTACCCACTCAGCCCTAACCCTCCAATCACTCTCCCACCTCGGAACAACCCAAACTCAGCCCGATCCCCCTCCACCTATCCTCGAGCCAGATCTCTTCCCAGAGAACACCCGCTCATCCCAAACTACAAAGTAGCAGCCCCGCCCCTAACTGTACCAGGTAGGTCACGATTGCGGGCCCCAAACCCAAAAGGGCGCAGCGGGGGGCACCTCTGTCCCCGACCCCGCAGGGGGCATGTCAGCCCCGGTTGTAACAGTCGAAAGGCGCTGGATGAACCCAAAGCCGCAGCACTCACCAGTGATGCCCGCACCTCTAGCAGCCAGCGCCGAGCCCAAAGCGCGTGACTCGGCCGGACCGTACCATCAGCCCAATGCTGTCAGGGGTGCAGGAAACGCCCGAACGGCCCTGCACCTCGAGATATGCGAAGCCCTCCAAACCCCGCATTCAGGAACATGGACATGGTCCCAAAACTCTGAAGACTGGCGCAAAGTCCGGCACAACTGCCAAAAACCTCCCTCTTGGCCACCCCCTACTCCCCCCCCCGCCGAGAGTACAGAATGGTTCAAACCGCGCGTTCTGGGACTCCTGGAGGAAACCATTCCAAAGGCGAGGGGATGTCGAAATTTAAAAGCCGTTTTAAAAAGAATTTGTGGGAAAGTACAGCCAGTGTAACACGCTGTTAATACAGAAAAGAAACAAGATAGAGAATGAATTTCTAAGAGCCCTGTGTTTTCTAATGGATTCACCAATCATTTTAGTTAAATTGTAGACGGAGTGGAACGTGCTGGCAGGTGGTGGGGAGGAGGCGGTCAAGTGTTGCGAGTGAGCAGCTAGTTGCGTAACTGGAGATTGGCGGGGCAGGGCTGCGCATGTGCGTGTCTGGCTCCTCTTTCCGCTTACTCAACATAGTAGTACACCCAAAATTTGAAGAAGTTATAGAAAAGGATATTTTTAAGCCTATAGACCTGCTACTTAAAAATTAATTTAAAAGCCATTATTGCATGATGTAATCTGGGTCCTTTTGTGAAGAGCTCGAGAGACGAGGGTTAACTCTGGCGCCGCCAGCAGGTGTCTGGTGTGCGATGTGCAGTGCGCGGCGTGCGGTGCTCAGAGGAAGCTGGGACCGCCAGCCGTGGCCCTGCGAAACTTCGCAGAGGCCCTCGGTGCTGTGGTTCCATTAGGGTGTCCACAATGTGATTATCAGGCAGTGCTGGGGGAAAGCCTTAGCCATTTGGAATAGAAGTGGGTGGTGGGGTTTTTCAAACCACGGAGGTCACTTTCTTTGAATTCCATGTCATGTTGAAAAGAGACCGTGAGAAAAGAACGAAATTGCAACTTGTGTTTTCTACCTTCATTTACTGGCCTGGTGGAGATCATTGTTCTTACCAATCCAATTCTGCCTGATGCTGAATAGCACAAAGACTTGATTTACAGGCCAACTTACAAAACATTTTCTGAAGCAAAGATACATCCAAGGGTATAGTGATTTGGGATTCTCTTTTTCCTTTGCCATAAGTAATACAGATACTTGTATTTTATTGCTTGCAAAATGCTTCGAGAACCTTAGTGAAAAGGTGCAAGAAATGTTTACAAACACCTCATACCTAAAAGAAAAACGTTATTCCCAACCTTTGTCAAAGTGAGTTGAATTCACGTTGAAAATGACCACCCTGCAATTCTGAATACAAATCTGATTAGCAAATTTCCATATGAGCAAAAATCTTACAGAACTTCCCACAAACTCCCATTAGTGACTGTGACTGGTTTTGCTTAACAAGACTAATATGTTTTAAATGAATTGTATTTGGGATTTTTTGTCATTTGTTTGGTTAATCTTTTTTCCCATTTTCTTTCAGTGGTAGGTGTTCCTTTACCATTGAGCTACACCCCACATTTATTAGTGGGGTCTTAAGCCAAGAACAAGGTATTTTTTTCATCTTGTATTTTTTTCTTGTTTTGGAATTACCTTTCTCAATTTGTTAGTGGAAGCCACCATCTTGTTCAAATTATCTGTTTCCATGGTGACAGGATAATGAAGTGTCCATGTGGAGGAAAGTTATTCAACCACTGGAATTTTCCTTCCTTCTTTCCCTCCTTCCTTTTTTTCTTTCTTGTTTTGTTGTTTTGATACAGGGACTCACAATATAGCCCAGGCTGGCCTTGAACTCAACAGTCCTGTTTCAGCCTCTCAACTGCTGGCATTACAGAAGTGTGCCACCATACTCAGTGGTATTTCCCACAAAATTTAATGTGCACTCACCGCATCTGGGCTCAACTTTTGCTATTCATATCTTTACTCAGCTACTTATTTCTTTAGGCGGTGCCTACTCAAACCTGTCTGTTAAAAACAAGTTGCCAAATCTTGGCCCCAGTGCATCGAGTGTTAATTAAACTGGGATCTCAGGATATCCATTTTGCAGGACACTCAAAAAATGAAAGTGTACACCTGAATTATCAGCACAAAAGGCGATTAAAGCTCACTGAAATGTTTAGAAAGATGCTAGCAATAACGTCCAAAAATTAGCAACTAAATGAAATAGTGTTAATCTCAAAGATTTACCCCATAATGAGATCTGTACGAAAGGTTACTAAAAGTATTGGGTATCCTACCAGCCAGCATTTAAACAGTATGGAATGTGTTTTTCCACTATTAAAACGTCCCCAAATTACATATTGTTGTTTAAAAAAAAATTTCAATACATATGCTAATTTGTTTCATTTACACTACTAGTTTATTATAGTTTGTTGAAAAGAAAGTTTTGTGTTATTATCTGTTTGGTTTTTTGGTAAGAATCTTTTTGGTTTATATCTTGTACTCTGAGTACTTTGAAGATAATGATACACAGTGTATTAACTATTGTTATTCTCTTGTTATTTTTATTTTTTCACAAAATTTTAAAAAATGATGCAATTAAGTATTCAAAAAATACCATTTGGATCAGAACAAAGATTTCTTGATGTTTTTCTGCCTTCTAACTAGTACTGAACCAAGAGGCTTAAGCCTGAGCTACAGCTGAGCATCTAGACTGACCAATTATTTCTGAGCTACCAGTTATCAGCATCAGAGCCAAATGGATAGAACAAAATATCCTGAAATTTTCTTTACAGGCTTTTTGGTGCACCTATACCAACATGGTCTCTCACACAGCTGCAGAATACAGTTGAGCTTAGCTAGCTGACTCCTGGTTTTCAGTTTGAGGAAGAAGGGGCATTTCACTTGTAAGCAATTGGATCTTAATATTTTTAATCACATCTCATTTAAGATTACAGGCTGTCTTAAAAATAATTATCTTTTGTTTCTTCGAGCAAGAAAATATTCCCTGTACTTCAGCTGTGGTTTGCAATTGGGGGGGGCGGGGTTGCCAGTGCTTAGAAGGAAGCAAGCAAGGGGTAATATTTAAGAAGGTGGAACTCATGTACAATTTCTAAGTCACACTGAAGTTTAAGCTAATTTTAGGTAATTAGACTATGTGTTCAAGGTTTGAATTATTAGTAGTCCAGTAATTTTTTTAAAGGGCACTAAGATTAAGGTGCATTTTTCACAATAGAAATTTCAAGAAACCTTTGAAAATTAATCTTCCTCTCTCAATTCAAATTTAACTGCTAGGCTTTAGAGTTTTAATCTGAAACTAGCTGCCTTTTGAATGCCTACTGGTTTCTAATCAGCTAAGGATCCAGACATATTAAATGTCTTTTGCAATTAGCAAAAGTTCTCTGGTTTCAGCTTTTGATCTTAGGAAAGGATACATTTGTCATTTTCACCATCATGAAGTAATTCAACTGCCTGAAAATACTGCCATTATATTTTTCTACTCACAAATGTCTGATTACCCAGCCATCTCCTTTCTCTGGGCCCTTTGCAACTTACAAAAACTTAACTTCATCTCTGAAAAGCATGTTAATAGTAGAGCATTGGAATACAAGGTAACCATGGCAAAGACAGAACAGGAAGCTGAACAGGTCAAGTTCACCAATAGTTCAGAACACTCAAAAAGCTTGGACTTAATTTTCCCCTCCTGCCATATTACCTGCTAGAAAAGTAAATGTCCCTGATTGGATTCCACCAGCACTATTCATTGACGGAGGCCACTTGCTATCTTGTACAGAAATGGTGTATTACCTAGCTTTGACTGAGATTTCAATATATTGACCAAAGTAAAAATGGTACCGTGCAGACTGGGCAGAAAACCCCCACTGCTTTATTGCCCATTAGTGCCACCCTGCCTCAGAAAACACTGCCATTTCAAAAGAATACAATGAGATGTTCCTCTAAAGAATACCTTATAGCAATATAATTCCAAACAGATCTCTCCAGCATACTCACTTGAGAGTCTATATTAAAAGTTAAGCGTCATCATTTTTGATTGGTTCATTTGGCATCAATCCATACAGAAATACAAATGTAATGCAAGTAATGGATTCAGAGGGCAATAATAATTCTTGATAAACAGGAGTATTAACATTTCAGACTATCATGAAAAGACAAACTTGTAAAAATCCTCACCAAACTGGTAGGTTCACTAGTAAACACTAACCCAAGGCTACATCTTGGGATCTCAGAAATAGCCCTAAACTCTCCTAAGTGCAAATTCACCATCTTCTGGTGCCATCAAAATGCCACAGCTGTTCAAAGTCAATATATTCACAAAGTATAATTTGCTGCTGAGAATTAAAGAAACAGCAAAGTCTATCTTAGCTACTCATACAGCAAATGAGCCTGATAACTTCCCAAGCCAAGACACAAGCAGAGCCTAGGCACTGTATCTGTCAGAGGAAACAGATAAGAAGTCCTAAAATATTTCCGTCTTAAAAATAAATGACAAAAAAGAAAGAACATATATGCATCTCCTTGACCTGGAAGATTTTCAAAAGTAACTCATGTCAGGAGAGAAACCATTCACCAGGCTTTTTTGGTGTTTTTCAATGCTGGGGATTAAATCAGAGATTTCATGTATGTTAGGCAAACTCTTTGCCAGTGAGCCACATTCTTAGCCCTTTTGTTTTGTTTTGTTTTGTTTTAAGATAGGGTCTCATCAAATTGCCCAGGCTGGCATCAAACTTGTGATCCTCCTGCATCAGCCTCCCAAGTAGCTGGGATTACTGGGCATGTACCAACTGAGCTTCGTAAGTTTAATAGAAAAAATTTGCCAAGAGCCATCAGCCAGGTACTGAAGTCTCTCCTCCTTTAGGGGTTGGGAATAAAGAGAAGGGACTAGGATTAGTAGAATTTGGAATCTGGAAGGGGCCAAGGAAGCTGTGTCCCTGATTTCAGTGTAGGGAGATGAAGATCCTGCTCCTGGGGCCTGTATCTCTCAGGGTGAGTTGAAGCCCAGTCTAGCGCCATGGAGGGGAACCATGAACTGGAATGAACTGCGCTTACTGGAAGCATTCTTGTTGGGCTGTGGTGTTCAGTGGCAAACAGAGGGACCTATTCCGCTCTTCTCCCTAGCTTTCTAGTTT